CATTTGTGGCAACAAAGAACTGGAAGGGATTAGGCTAAGTAAAATAAATCAGAAGGAAAAAGACAAATGTGAGATGGTTTCACTATGTATTTGGAATACAGAGAAATCAAAGGGTCAGACAAAACAAACTTTGAAATCTAACCACAGATCTGAGGCATCCAGGAGAGGAGGGAGATGTCGTGTAGGAGTGACGGGCAGGGGAGCAAAGAGCACAAGGGGCCATGGTGTTGGGCGGTGGGTGCTTTGGTGGTGGGAGAATTATGGTAACCACACCTGAGGGGAGAATCCTATACAGTCAAAAACTTAACATTAAAAAATAAAAATAAATATTCCTGACCATATAAATTTAACACAAAATATATATTTCAACTACCCTGCAGTATTCTGCACTTTGTTGTCATGTAATGATCACAATAGCCTTCTCCTTTACCAACTTTGGGAACTTTAGGTGATGTTTAACCCTTTGGGGGAATACTGCCCTCCTAGCATGAAGCAAAGAAGCCCCTGACATATTTAGACATCCTGAGCAAGCAGATGCCTTGCAGAGTATGATCAACACTGATGTCTGCGGAAAGCCTGGGGACAGAAAAATAATGGGGTATTTTCAATATCACTTTTCTACCTCAGTAGAAAGAACACATACCTTAGTACATGTTCCAAAAAGTTTGTAATTCATCTCACACCTTGAATCTGGACATACAATGTAGATTTTCCAATAGTCCGTTGTGAGTCCTGTCTCTTTCAGTAATAATCTTCCTTAATAACAGCTTCATACATCTCAGTAATCTTCTGCTCTCTGAGTTGTCAACACAAGGAGCTAGAATTACATTTTACAGTAAAAAACAACAACAACAACAACAACAAAACAAACAAAAAACCCCCAAAAAACTGTGGTGCTCACCTCTAAGAAGCAAGTTTGTGAGAGGGGAAGAAAGAGGTGGGGGAGGGAACAGATGTGTGCAGATGTCTAGAGGGAGATAAGAATTCCTGGCATGAGTCTTTCCACTTACTTTTATAAGTTCTAGGCAGCTTGACTGACTGCAGCTCAGATTTTGTCAAACAACATTCATTTGCAAAGATCTGGGCCAAGAGGGCACACCTGGGAAGGGGCTGTGAACTCAGAACCAATAAGGAGGCAGGTATCCTGAATCTATAGTAAAATAGAAGATGCAGAAAATCCAAAGTTTAGAGTCATTGGGTTTATCAGGGTGCAATAAAATGCCAGTCTTCATATTAAATGTGGAAAATTAAAAATATTCAGAGAAAGTTTTGTTAGTGTCAAATCTGAAATTACTACATGGATTGAAGATGGGTTATTGTTAAAATTCCTTTGTTGCAACCACTCCAAATTATAATCTACTAGGAGTTTTACTGCTGCATGCTCAGTGACAAGGAGATTGTGATTGTTTGATGAATATTCTCAATCCTGGCTTTTTATTAGAGTCATTAGACAATTCAATGCCTGCTTCTTACTGCAGATCAAATAGGCTTTAGAAACTTTCCAGGTGATTCTAATGTTCATCCAGGACTGGGAAACACTAGTTTAGTTTGAGATGGGAATTAGATAGCTAAGGAGCCATAGAAAGTGTTGTGGTTTGAGAGGCTGTGATTCATGGTCATAAACTCTGACAAAGAGAATATGCTGAACATGTTAGAATTGGTATTAATGGGTTTAACCTGTGATGACAAGCCAGAAGTCAAATTTTGCATACCTTATAACATAACTAGTACTAGACAGGCTGATAGATGATCAATATATTTAGTTGTATGTTTAGTTGTTTAGTCAAATATCAAAACTTCACAGACTAGAAATCCACACAAGGCAGGTTGAGAACTCCAAGAACCAGGAAAAAGACACTCAGAGTCTGAGGTCATTCCCTCCATCTTTCAGTCGTTTAATCTCTTTAATCTTTGTTCCTCTCTGCACATCTGCTTAATTCTTCCATTGCAACTAGCTTCCTATGATTACTCATTTCATGCAAGAATTAACATGAATGCTTAAACTTATCATGATGTTCAGTTTGAGAGCCCAGTTCTGACTGACCATTATCACAAAGACTCTTAGCTTAACTTTTCAACAAAGGGAATCTGGTCACTAGTCCAGCAAAGAGGATTGGTCTTGTCGAGCTTTGGGTCAGGTTTCAACCTCTTCTTAAAATCTGGGCTGGTAGTGGGAAATGTCATTTGGTTTACAAGTCTATGAGACCAGTGGTAAGGCAGGTTTTAGGAGGAACTGTGGGCAAATTAGTGTACATCTAATACCCATCCATAACCAATGACCACATATCTTACTTTTCCATCTTCTGCTTCCAAGGAAATATGTGGGCACAGGGAGATAACAAGGAGCCTGAACAAATGTGCCCTACTGCTTACAAAATCCAGTCTGCCATCTGAGAGAGGTAACCATAGACAGGGATTCCCCAAAGACAGTCTGCAAACCTTCAATCAGCATTATGTATGTAAATGTACATGTGCTATCTTCTGCTTGAAAGATTGTTTTCCCATTGAAAAGTTCACGAAAGTCTATGTTCAAAACATACACTCTCTATTTGTTAAAATTTTATCCCATACTTTCTGCTGCATTGTGACACACAAAAATGTAACACATTTAGACTTTAACAAGAATTTTCTTCTTGGGTCTTTATATGATAATTTGGGTAATTTACAATTAACATGTTATTACAATGGTTTGACAGTTCACCTGACAGCTCTGAAATAACATTTTTGGCTTTTAGATGACAATCTTTCACTGAAACCTAATATGACTCTTTAGAAACTATGAACTTCAGTGGATTTGGGGGTTCACAAAAAATGGTGGGGTGAGAAATTTATAAACTCTCCAGTTGGAGTAAGTGTGTATAAACACATTTTATGGTTCAACATTGGTTATTGCAACAAAGAATTGAGCAGTTCTTCTCTTCTCTAGTTAAGTTCAGCTGCAATGAGGCAGGATGCAAGAATGGTCTCAAACTTGGTGGCCATATTTGGATGGAAAACGTCAGAGTAAAACCCACCTCCCACTCCAGTTTGTATTCTCCAGTCTCCCTGCTACTAAAGGCAAGATGAAGTCAAGAGAAAGGGAAGGGTACACTGAAAAATGTGGGGAAGCACCAGTAATAAATACCTTTTTTTTTTGTTTTGCTGTTCCAGACATGTGGTCCTTGAAAATCATGGCATATAATGACATCATGACAATGTGCAATGAATTATTTTAGAACATTTCATGGAGTCAACTCTTTTAGCTTTTGCCTAGCAGTCAGGGATTCTGGCTGATAAAGAGAAGAAAACTTATAGTTTACTGACAAAACAAAACACCTTTAAACCAAAAGGATGATTTATCTGCGCTGAAAATAAAACTCCTGCCTACTGAAGTCTGGTGCAGCTGAGTTATCACTATTTTTGTCCTGTAATTTGTTTTATAGGGTACTAATTAACAGGGCAAAGTCTGTTGCCAGGAAAGTAAATTGCATTTTGCTGTTTTCTCTTCTAACAAGACACAGACCTGGTCTTTCATTAAAGAGCAGGTTCCAAGGGCACTATCAGTTACTGAAATTGGGAAACATTTGCTTGGAAAGATCATGGTGAAACCTTCTGTGTGAAGTTCAAGACTAACAGTGGAAAGGGAAAGAATGGAGGAAGAAAAAGAATGGCACAGGTAATTCTGCAAAGGAAGAGAATGTTTTCCTGCAATGTCCCAACTTTTCTCTGCCCCCTACAATTCTAAATTTCTCTTCTGGCACTACTCAACTGGCATGCTATGCCACAAACATCCTTAAAAAAATTCACTCCTCATCCCCGTTCATTCCTGTTTCCTAAACAGTAGTACTACAATTTTAGGATCGCAACTCTGCTGTCAGACATTTCTGCCCCCAACCCACTCCCTCTTCAGTGCTTCTTCTTTGACTTACACCCTTTGCTACCAGGTCGATGAAATGCATCTTTCATCTCTCCCTTCCCAGCTCCTCTGGTCTTCCCTCTTTTTTCTTCACCTCTCTTTCTTATCTCATTCCTGGAGCCTCTGAACTGGAAGTTGAAGCTTTGTGTGGCTTCCCCTTTCTTCCACCTTCGCCCATGAACCCTCTGAGATCTCTTTTGGGGGAGGAGAGACGGCTGTGGGTTTGGGTTGTTGATAGTGTTGGGCAGGCAAAGAGGGCTTGTGTGGAGCTTGCAGCCAAGAGCTCTGCGTCTGACGTCACTGTGCCCTGCCTGTCAATCTCCTATGGGGCGCGCTGCCAGTAGCAGCCTTTCGGCACTGACAGTGTCTCTCACTCTCAGCAGCACCAGCACAGCGACAGGTGCCTGCGTTCATCTCTTCACGAGGCCCTAGCCGCCTCCCGCAGATAGTGGCTCTGTCAGTGCTGGGAGTGCAGCCTGGCGCCTCGCCACAGCGCTCATGATCAGCGACTTCCTGAAGCCCTGACTTCCCAGGTGAGAAGCCCAGCTCCCTAGAGGAAATTTGAGGGTGTTGAGGAGGGTAAGGGATGGAGGATAGTCAGGGGATGAATCCTCTCTGGAGCCTGAGAAGTGGACCCAAGCTTGACTTCAAGATTTCCCTATACCCTAGCTTCTCTCCCCTCAAATCTTGCAGGGATCTGCTAAGATTTTCTTGCTCCGCGGTTGCAGAAACTTCGCTTTCAGCACCACGGACAGCACCCTGCTGGCCGGAAAGCCCTCATCCTGTGGATTAGAGCCCAGACCCGACTTCCTAAAACCGACACCACTAAGCAGGGTGTTTGTGCACATACAAGAACACTTATGGGGTTGATCTGTGTGTGTGAGAAAGTATGTTATCCGTGTAGAATATCTGTGAAAAAACTTAGGGTACCCGGGCGCATTTCAGTCATTTGTTCAACAGGTATTATTTTGGGTTCTTAACCACGGCTTCTTCGCTCTACTCTGAGGTCCTGGGGTGGTGCGGACAGTATGAGCGGGCTCCTGAGCCCAGGGAAGTTCCTTGCTAACTTGAGCACACCTGACGCTTGCTCTCCTCTACACAGGGTGCAGCGTCCCGCCGCAATGAACGCGAGCGCCTCATCTCTCAACGAGTCCCAGGTGGTGGCAGTGGCTGCCGAGGGAGCAGTGGCGGCGGCGGCCACAGCGGCAGGAGCGCAGGATACCAGTGAATGGGGGCCCCCTGCCGCGGCTGCAGCGCTGGGGGGCGGGAGCGGGACTAATGCGTCCCTGGAGCTGTCTTCGCAGTTGCCCTCAGGGCCGCAGGGGCTGCTGCTGTCGGCGGTGAATCCGTGGGACGTGCTATTATGCGTGTCTGGTACTGTGATTGCAGGCGAAAATGCACTGGTTGTGGCGCTCATAGCGTCCACCCCGGCACTGCGCACGCCCATGTTCGTGCTGGTAGGCAGCTTGGCCACCGCCGATCTGTTGGCGGGTTGTGGTCTCATCCTACACTTCGTATTCCAGTACGTGGTGCCCTCGGAAACCGTGAGTCTGCTCACTGTGGGCTTCCTCGTGGCCTCCTTCGCTGCCTCGGTCAGTAGCCTGTTGGCCATCACGGTGGACCGCTACCTGTCTCTCTACAACGCGCTCACCTATTACTCGCGCCGGACCCTGTTGGGTGTGCATCTCCTGCTCGCCGCCACCTGGACGGTGTCCCTAGGGCTTGGGCTTCTTCCGGTGCTCGGCTGGAACTGCCTGGGCGAGCGAGCAGCTTGTAGCGTGGTGAGTCCGCTGACACGAAGCCACGTGGCGCTGCTCTCCGCTGCCTTCTTTGCAGTCTTCGGCATAATGCTGCACCTGTATGTGCGCATCTGCCAGGTGGTCTGGCGCCACGCGCACCAGATCGCGCTGCAGCAGCACTGCCTGGCACCGCCCCACCTTGCGGCCACCAGAAAAGGCGTCGGGACGCTAGCCGTGGTGTTGGGAACTTTCGGCGCTAGCTGGTTGCCTTTCGCCATCTATTGCGTGGTGGGCAGCCAAGAGGACCCTGCTGTCTACACCTATGCCACCCTGCTGCCCGCCACCTACAATTCCATGATCAATCCTATCATCTATGCCTTCCGTAACCAGGAGATTCAACGCGCTCTGTGGCTCCTGTTCTGTGGCTGTTTCCAGTCCAAAGTGCCCTTCCGCTCCAGGTCCCCCAGTGAGGTTTGAAGACTCACTTCTTTCCCTCACCAATGCCACACCCCCAACAAGTCAACTTTTGGTGAGCTTCTAGGTGCCTGTTTTGAAATCTGCAATTATGAATAGTGTGAATGTGACTTTGGAAAAAGAATAAATATAAATGCAACAAACTCACAAAGACAAAGAGGCTTGTTGACACTTTACATATACAGTGTATACATGTGTACATATATATACAAATATTTGTATCTTCTGGAGGTGTTCAGGATTTGAAAGTTCCTGTTCTGTGAAAAAAATTTAACAAAGATGTGGTTGTATACTCAAATTGTACATCACATTTGTCAAGTGAAGAATTTCCAATACTGCTTAATTATAGCACTTTATTTCTAGCTGCTGAAACTGCCAAAACAGTGTTGCCATTTTCAAGGTCAGGGGGAAGGGAGTGAAAGGGGTAATTTTTGTTGTATGTGGTAGAATATTTTGCTGCACATGCATCAGTAAATTACAACATATTTTGTACTCAAATAAACACATTATAAAAATATAACCTGGGGCAGTTGTCTGATTATAGAATTCCTATCTAAGAATTATTAGCACATCCACTTTAAAAGTTAATTATATATCAGTTTCCTCCTGTGAAATATGAATACAAAAAGTTATATGCATCTGCACATTGTTCATAAATTGTCATTGAAATACATAATCCAGATCATTGGGGAGGGTAAGGAAGGGATTAATATATTCACAGGACACTAAAGGATCATTGATGTTGATGTTATCAGTGTAAATTAATCTATTCCCTTTGTTTCTGTGTTTGTTTGGAAGACAAGTTCCAGAGGATGTCTGAAGCCTTTCATTCATTTCACCAAATCTTTTCCTTCATTTCACCACATGCTCTCTTGTGAATCCTGAAACTATAACTTTTAATTGTGGGGTTTTTTCAATCTAGGAAGAATTCAACATTTTAAAAATCATATTAAAGAAACATGATTTCCAGATCTTGTAGAAAAATGCACAGCCTATGAAATTAATAAATACTTCCAAAACAGGATTTCAAGATCATTGTGTTCATGAGGTAAAATTCCCTCTTGATTCACTCTTCAAAACACAGTGCATTAAATCACTAAGAACTAAACATTCCTATTCCACCAATGGGTGTGAATCATTGTCAAATTGTTCTCATCCTCCCTTTTGTACAGGATGATATGAGGATAAATAAGATAACATGTGTGGACATACTTTAAGCCGCTGTGAGGAAATATGCACACAAGTATAAGAGTTACTAAGATGAGGAAAATACACAAATAGGATAATTTTCATGTAGGCTGTAAATATTGATCAGCTCGACACAATTCCAGGACTGGGAACAAGAAGTGAACAAAAAAAATAGGTAAAGTCTGTGTTCATAGTGTTATATTTTAGTTGGGGAGATGGGCTATAAGCAAATTGACAAATTATGTAGAGAGATTTATTATAAAGATTGGTGCATGCAATTATGGAGGTTAAGAAGTCCCGGCATCTATACTGGAACCTGGGAGAGTTGATGGTATACTTTCAGTCTAAGTCCAAAGGCTTGAGAACCATAAGAAGCCACAGCTTCAGGAACCAAAAAGAGCTGACCAAAGGTAGGAATGGATTAATGTTCCAGCTTAAACCATTTAGGCAGTCAAGTTCCTTTTTAATCAGTGCCTTTGATCTATTCTGGTCTTCAACTGATTGAATAGGCCTGGCTACATTAGGGAGAGCAATCAGCCTTTTACTCAATCTACTGAGTCAAATGTTAATATCCAGAAACTCTCTCATACACACTCAGAATAAGTTTGAGCAAATGTCTGGGTACTCCATGATCCTGTCAATTTGACACATAAAATTAACCATCACACCAAAAGAATACAGTGATCCAAAATAAAGGAGAAAAAGTCAGAAAGGAATTGTCAACTCTGTCCAAACATTGCTGAGTCAGTAAATAAAATGAGGATTAAGAAAATGAGCATAGATTTTGTAATGTGAATGTTATTGATGAATAGAGATACTTCAGGAGAGTAAGAGGGGGACACCTCATGATAGAAGGCACAAGAAAAAATGTTTGAGAGATCTAGTCTCCAACATCTGACAATAGAGCTGTGGCCTTTATAAAACCAGAAGACAAATAATTTAGAATTTTATAGTGTCTATAAATTTAGATCTGAGAAGATCAGCATTATTGATCATTCATCAAATTAACATTTTCTAAAGAATCATCATCCAGCATCATCAGATATTATTCCAGGTCCTATTGATATCCAGGATGACTTCAAGCAGGCTTAAATAACAAAACCTCTGACTATGAACTTTTCCAAATATGTGGTGGGGAAACAACAGAACTTCAGAAATGGAGCAAACAAGTCAATGTTATTATATATTTTATAATTACTGAGAAAAATTTCTTACAATCAGAAAATTAAGAAAGTTCAACACTGGGATAATAAAACAGAAATCATACATCTGACTTCATTCTGGTTGGTATATTCAATATCAGTCCTAGTCCTAATGAAAATGCTTGAGAGTGCCAGTAAGGAGGCGAGACCAAGTAATCAGGCTGTTAATGGCCCTGCTTACTGAGTGGGCTAGGCTGTGTCATGTCATTATGCTTGATATGAACCAAACTGAAGATGTAGAGACATAAAACTGCAGGTAGATCTTCAATACCCAATGTTAGTTGCTATAAGTATATAGTCTTTGAGAAAGAGAAGAGTCATTCAAATATTCAAATACCTACCCCCTTAGCTATTTCATGGACCTTATACATTTAACACGTTAAATTCAACCGCTGATCTTTGCCCCCAACTCTCTTCTTTCTCCTTTCTTTGCCATAGAAGATAATGGCAATGTCATCATTCTAGATGTTCAGGACAGAAACTTTGGAATCACACTTACCTTTCTCTTTCCATCACACCCCCATCCTTTGTGTGAGCAAAGCCAATTGCCCTTACTTTCAAAATTTACCCATGTTCCAGCCACCTCTCAGCATTTTACCATTTTCATTCTCTTTTGTGTTAATTATTCTAGTAGCCTTCTATCTAGTCTCCTGATTTCAGTTCTTGTGCCCATTTTCTTGAACACCCTTCACATTCAGGCTTGAGCCCAACAGCAATACTGTCTCTCTGAAAAAGACGAACTTGGGTGAAATGTTCTAGGCTCTGGAAATAGGCTTTGAGTAAAAATTTATTGTGTGAGAGATTACAGGGTCTGGGATACATGTGCCTAGTATAGACAACAGGACAGACTCTTCATCCCCCCAAAAAGGAGAGCAACTGGAGGAGGCCTAAAAAGGGGCCTAAATTATGAAATCCAGGGCAGGCAGGACCACTTGTCTCACAGTGTATGTTTTCTATTGCTTCTGTAACAAATGATCACCAACTTGGTAGTTTAAAACAACATACATTCATTCTCTTATAATATGGAACTCAGAAGTCTGAAATAAATTTCACCAGGCTAAAACCAAGATATCAGCTGAACTATGCTCCCTTCAGATGTTATAAGGGAACAAACTGTTTTATTGCTTTTTTTTTCAGATTTTAGAATTTCCCTCACATGGTCTGTATTATATGCAGTTATATCCAGTGTTACACACAATGTGCAGCGAGGGAATCATATGGAAAAGGCGACCAAGGAGGAGCATCCAGAGGGGACCATCGAAAGCCAAGAAGAAAATGTTTTAAGAAAGAAGTGACCAAGTGTGTACAGACTGTCAGCGGCCAAGGAAGAGCAGTCCGGTAAGACATGGTGTTCATTGATGACCTAATGGAAAGGAACTTCCATGGAAGGTGGGATGAAAGCTAGATTGAAGTGGCTTTAAAGCAAGTGGGAATTTTCTAATTTTTTTCAACAAAATTAACTTTAAAAGAGGGCTGGCAGCCAGAGAGAAACACAAAGTCACAACATTACTGTCTTTATTTTATTTTTTAAAGTTGGGATAAGGTTAAACATTATTACAGTAAAAGGCAATTAGTGTATAATTGGAAAAGCTGAAAGTAATAGAGAGAAAAAGATAGCTGAAAGAGTGCGCTTTCTCAAGAGGATGAGGTCCTGGGCACAGTGTCATGGGGAGAGTGGGACTCAGGAGGGGGTGGAGACACAGCTCACCTGCTCTAACAGGAGGCAAGGTGGGAATGATTGGTGCTGATAGAGCTAAGTTTATAGGAGGTGGGAGGAAGTTCACAGAGTTCCTACCTGACAATCTCAATTTTTCTGAAGGAGGAATACCACTTAAGAGATTATCGCAAGTATCAAAAATCTAAGTCGAAGATGCTCGGAACAAAACTATGAACTGGGGAGAAGATAGTGTAGTCATTAAATCAGTATTAAAGTGCAGACCACACCAAGCATTGCACAGATGCAGAGCCATTGCAAGTCTCCTATAGCAGTGGTAGAAGTGTAAAATGATATGAACACTTTAGAAAAACAGTTTGGTGAGTAAGCCAGAAGTAAAGAGAATCTCAACTTTAAACCAAAAGGACATTAACTCTTTTCACTTTATTTCTTGACTCATAATTTCCAACTACCTAAGGCCCCAGTATAGCCTAAGTCCCATCCCATCTGGCATCTACAATGCCTTCAAGCAGCTCTAAAACACACAGTCCTGGGAGAGGCTGGGGTTCTGGGGGAGGTAGGCAGCCAGGAAGCCTCAAAACCCACTTTTTACTGTAGATTCTTCTAATTCTATTTCCTACAAGGAACAGATATTCACAGAGATTGTCACAATGTTCATCAAACACCACTTATATGACACACAACAATCAAGCCACATTTCAGAGGCAGCTACCGCAGCTGAAGAAACACTATTTTCTTCTATCAGAGTGATTAAAAGATTTCATATTTATAAAAGATAAGATAAAATGTAATTGGGGGCTTAATCTACTTTTGCTAAAACAAAGCATAGCAAAATAGTGGTGATTTTAAATGTTCGTTCCACCACAGAGCAGTCCCTACTCCTTGGAATGGTAATCCTCTTCCACCCTGCCTCTAAGATCAGTTGACCTTGGCAAATAATGATGTGTTATGAGGCCCCAGATGATGCCCCTCTGGCTCCCCGCCAGCCTTCTTCAGACCTGACCATCTGTGTTTGGATGTGGCCACCGACTTTCTACTCCTTCTCTGCAAGGCCTCTTGACTTTTGCTCCTCCTTTGTCTAGAAGTGTGCAGAAACCAACCTGGGTCAGCCACATTCTGTCCCCTGAGATCTGACTGTTGTGTGCAAATTCTAAAGGTTGGAAAAAGGTTATATCCTCTCCAGCATCAGTGCCCAGGGAGGAAAGGCTGGGTGTTCTCTGCTATTTCCATACTCAGAGCTGCTCCATTTATTTTCTTATCCCTCTGCTGATCCTGTGACCTTAGTCCCCCTTCCATACATACATTTGTACTTAAACCATTTCTTTTGCTTATGACCAAAGAATCATGGTACATCTTCAGATCCTTATTTGAACATATTTTAAAGTTCAAAGCCATCTTTCTTTTATTTATGATTTGTGATAGAGTGCTGCATTTTTAAAGAAAGGTACAAA